AAAGAGTGTGGGGGAAGGATGCCACAGCTAAAATACAACATGCCAGAGGTTTCGCTGCAGATGGGGAACACGATTGCATGAACACCGCAGATCTGTCAACGCCTTGGGCTAGCTGATAAGCAGAACATCAGGAAGATGGTATCCAAAATAAAGATACTTTATGAAGAAATGTAGAAGCTAACAGGCACATCTTTGCATCATGGTCACATGGAGAGTCCCTGTGAAAGAATCTGAAAACCTGTGACATCAGGCTTAGCTCAACATCAGATCCTGAATGGGAGAAATCTGCTAGCTGCACTGAGCAAGGATGACCTGTTTCTCTCCCACATCCAAGGCAAATCACAACCATCCATCCTTATAAACCTTTTCAGCCTTTGTCAAGAGAGAGTTGACTTATGTGGAAGCCTGTCTTCATAAGGGCACCAGAGTCTCCAGAACTCTTGTTATCAGCTCCCTGTGAACGTACAACATCTGCTATGAAGGCAACAGAGATTGAGAGCACTGTCTCAAGGCTGACTGCTGGTGAATGCACCCTGTGGTTCTGTGATCATTATCACCAGACTTGGGCATCATGGTATCAATTTGATCAATCACCCCATTTGATCAGTAAATTAGATGAACCACCCAATTTGGTGTTTACCCAAACTGCATGTTGTTTTTTTTTTCCCAGCTGTGAGGAGACAGAGACTACTTGATTCAACAAAAGGTCAGAATGGTGCAGATGGACAATGTCTGATAATGAAAAACTAACTAGTGACCTTTTTTTCTTTAAAGTAAAATCACTCTTACAGAGCAAGTTCATATTGCATCAGTAGCTCACCCCACAAGGCTGTGGCATTTCTGATCAGGAACCTGAAAGCTGGACTTAATGCACTGTTGAATCGTGGCCTTATGCAATTTTAATGCCTGCAGTGTCTTCTCCAGGCAAGATCCAGGGCTTTCATAGCCACTTTATACTGTTAGAGCAGATGGGGGCGGGGGGGGGAAGAAATAATTTCACACCTCATCTCTCAGACTCAAACAAGGACTTAAAAAAAGCTACTGGTAAGATACTTCTGTGCCTCAGTAAGTCAGCCTAGAGTTATTAGTACTACAACCATTTTTAAAACACCACCTTCACCAGCTACAGGATGCTTTTTATAGTTTAATCAGTAAAAAACTAGTTTGCACCATACTCTTCACTTCTACACAACACAGTAACACCAAAAGCAGGGTTAGCCTCAGAGACAGATTTCCATAATAAACCTGTTTTCATTAATAAGTCAAGTGTATCACAAATATTTCAAATCTTTTGGATCACCTATTAAACACTTTCCTTGAATTGTAGCTTCCAAAGACCTGTCTTTTAGCACTTATAACATATAGTTTCTGAGTAAAGTTATTAAAAACATGACTGAGAAACTGTGAATAATAAATTAAAATAACAAGCGTGATGAGAGATCATTTTATCTCCCAAGCAGACACAAAAGAAAGAAGCAAAGGAGGCTGCAGTGGAATTTCTACCCCCAAGGCACTGTCTCATGACTGTCATCCCCTCCACCCTCTCCCATCTTACTTTTATAATTCCAGTGGATGCTGGTGACTTGGATCTCCTGAGTTGGAATATATTCCTCAATGAATTTCTTTCCCTGCAGTCGGTGCCAGAGCGTGGTTTTCCCAGTGTTCCTGTCCCCTCGGATGACAATTTTCACTGGGGAAAAGAGCAAGCAGGCAAATAAAGTTGATTAAAAACAAATCAAAAAATGCTGTGAAAAGCATGTTAACTTTTTCTAAGCATTATTCAGATCTAATTATCTCTCCCATATTACACAGGCATGATGGGGTTTGTTAAAAACATGAGCCTCGGTCATTAAAATTAGTGTTTATTCAGCTACTCACACTAGCTCAGCAGAAAGAACTAACGGCAAGATTGAATCTTCAGAATCTGCACAACTTCAGCCAGCTAAGTCTCCACTCCTTCCATCCTCCTGCCTCCTCTACCTCGCCTTTACTCCCACTCTGCCACACCCTATCCCTTTGCCAGCCTTTTATGCCAGGCTTCTCTTTCAATTACCTCCTCTATCATTCCCATTTCTCCTTAAACACTTCCCATTCCTTGAGAAAACACTGGGGCAGCATCCCCTTTTCCAGGGGAAGAAGAACAAGACTGTGTATTGCTCTTTGGCGGCTCCAGCTCACAGCCCAGATGGTTTCAGGTGAGGAGACAATCCTTGGCAGGGACAAGGGGCAAGGTAGTTAACGTTCACAGGCATCTATCTTAAACTGCCCCCGATAAATTCACCAAACTGCCTCTGTTGATGGTCACAGTTTGATTCAAATTAAACCAAAATGAGTTCATCTTACAAGCTAAACTGAACCAAAACAAGCATGCCTCTTTGCGGACACAAACTCACCTAAATAACAGTGAAATAAACCCAAGAGAAACTGAATCTCTGTGGGTCCTCCATGTGTCAGAGGACAGTCTCTACCACAGCAGCCAGCCCTCAGCTGGTTTTAGGTGCGGGTGTAGTGATGGCACTCGGTAAAGGCATTTCAGAAACTGCAGTCTCGGATAAAGGCACAACAGCTCCATTTCCACCAACTGGCCTCACACCTAGCTGACCTACCACCATGTGCCTGTGCACATGTGCTTGTACCCACAGCAAGGAAAGTCAGCAAAGGAGAAACCCATTTAAACCCTCCCAAGGAAGGCAAGTATCCAAAACCAGTACACAACCCAGCCAAGTAACTTCTGTAGCAATTAATATCATGAATTTCCCAGAGTCAACCCTAATGATACCTTGTTCTTTCTGAAAACAGTATGTGTTTTTTTCTAGATTTTCTGTTACACTATATTTTTGCCTTTTTTAAATACCATCCTTGTTTCAAGTGGCAACCACAATGCTATTGGGAAACTTAAGCTGATTTGAACAGAATTTTTATGCTTGCATTTTGAATAGGAGCTATTATCCCCTAGAAAATGGGCCACTCTGAGACATCTCATGGCAGATTCAGGTGATTAGCATTAGGTTGTGCATCATCATTTGGGCAAGGAAATCTGAGACCGAAGGCTGCCTTCTGTTGCAACTCAGGAGTTATTGCAGGTATTTCAGAGAAAAGTTTAAGCGATAAACTTTAAGGTAAAACATATACAAAGTCAGTGGACGAGTTTCGTCCGATGAAATTTTGTGCTGCAGTTCCACTGTGCTTTTGTTGTTGTACACTGAGAGGTACTGCTGTTTATTCTTTTACAAAGCTACTTATTAAAACAGCAAACAGATAATAAAGGCAAAAATGAACATAGTATGTACAGGCTGACTTCACTTACAGGTCCCAAAGCATCTCCGCAGAGACAACAAACCATTTCCGGCATTGCCTGCTGCCCTGTGTGTGATGCTGTTTCCTATTTACAGATGGTGAAACAATCAATGCAGGATTCCTCTGATTTTTCTGAATTAATGCAGCAAGTCCACGGCATAGGCAGAATCAGATTCCATTTGTCCCCTTTAAAATCCAAGCATTTCTAAACGCTCTCACTGCCTACCTTAGAGAGCCATTTTAAAATTCATATTCCCCATGAAGTGCAGCATGAGCTACCGAAACAGTGAGTTTTAAGGGACAAATAGACTCTTCCTTAAATAGTTAAGCTGCTCTCAAGGTGCACTTTCAGGATCACTCCCAGATGACTTGACTGAGAACTCTCCCCAGAAGGGGCAATCTTAGCTCCCCCAGGACTTTTGTAGTGCCAACAGCGTTATTTATGCAGCTACACATTAAGTTGGATGAAGGAACTGAACTGGCTGAAAACTAACCCCGAAACTATTCATTTTCAGTTTTCTTCTCTAGCTCAAGTGCCCAGCTGCACAAGCAGTAGGAGCAGCACACGGGAGGCATGGCTGGAGTGGCAAGGAGATCATCCTCACCCCTGCACAACGCACATTTAGATCAACGTAGGGTGCTTGTGGCACCACATGCTCAATTTGAACAGGTTCAACAGCCCTTTCCAGCTTCAGCACTCTCCATGTTAGGATCTCTTTCCTCCTACGCAGTGCAAGAGTTTTCACTGACTTTTTTCCTGAAGAAAGAAAGTCTTTTAAAACAGAACAGGAAGAAAGGAAGTGATGTAAATAATTTTTAGCTAAACAAAATCTGTATTTCGGACTTTGGCTGGGGCAGGTCTACTCAATGACAGGCATCTGAAAGACAGGAAGAGCTGAGTGAGCTTCAGAGCACGGTCAGGCAGGTACATCACAGGCCTGGGCTGTGTCTGGATGTGGAAAGAGGACCAGTAATTGTGGGTGAGGTTAGTACTGTTACTTATGGGACAGTAACAACTGCTACCTTATTTTGATTTTAAGTTAAATCTGTACTTACTGCAAACAGCCACAGGTTTGTAGCAGACAGGAGAATTATCTGTGGGAAAAAGGGTAGGGATGGGGAATAGATCAAGATGTGAGGAACAAGCTAAACAAAACACTTTATTCATATTGCCACTGCATCAGGAAAAACAGAGGGATTTCCATTCGCCAGATGGGGAAATGGAAGCAGAGCAGTAAAGATACAGGCCCAGAGAGCCGGTCTCAGACCTACTCAGAACTAGAAATCAGGAATTCCCAGCTCTGCTCGTATTCCTCCAGGGCACCGCAGCAACGAAGGATTTCACACCCTGCAGCAAAGATGCTCAAACTCCTCTGCTAATAATGCCCATACAGAGGGTCATAAACTTGCCCTCATTAAAGTCTTTGGGAATGTGACTACAAGGCTGCAATCCAAATGCTGGCAGCAGAACCAGCTTAAAGAAGCCGTGCATCTGATGTGCAGACCCCCCCGCAGGCACAGTTCCTGGGGAGAACAGGCCAGAGAACAGTCAAAGCAGGTTTGCCACATGTTGCACAAACACCTGTGTCAGCCGTAGGAGAAAACGAGAAAAGGTGGGAAGCAGCAGACTAGGGGAAACCTTTCCTTTGGGAGTAGTGCTGAATGGAAATACATAACAAAACACAATCAGAGTCTGTGAACTACTACTCTAAAACAACACAAAAGAAGGACTATAACGCTTACCTAAAGGATACACAGTATTAATTATGTTTTGTCTTTTAAAGCACATTTTAGGCAGAAAAACAGTAACGGGAGGGACTGGGGGCAATTCTTGGAGCTACTGACTTTGGTATTTCAGCACTGGTGACTGTTCAGGGCAGGCCTGCAGCTCCCCAAGAGAGCAGCCCGTGCTCCAGGCACACACAGCAGTGGGGTTTGTCAAGTGGTGTGGGCACTGGATGTAGCGTTAAGAACAAAGCCCAGAGCAGAAGGCATACGGTGTTCTGGGGAACAGGATGGATGGATCTGAACCTTTCGCGCTTCCATGTCTTTTGCCCCTGTCACTGATCACCAATGGATAACTCCCAGGGAATCCTCTTGCTAGTGTAACCCAGTCAGAACTGCTCATTTCACCCTTGTTTGGCCAACACTGCCTTACTTAAACTTTCACATTTGAGTAACCTGGTGCTACTAATTCCTTCTGTAATTTGTCTTGTAATTTGTTCAAACAAGCACCACTGCCAAAGGAATGAGATCCACCGAGCCTACTCGCTCTGGGCCGTGCTACCCTCCCCAGGCCAGCACAGCAATCTGAACGGTGATGCAGCAGACCTGATCCAAGTTCAGGCTACCCCGAACAGGAAAAAAAAAACCGCAAGTTTTTACAAAGATTGGTTCCCTATACTTGGAACCATGATCTGCCATAAAAATCCAAGCCATTACATATATGGTAAAGACCCATATGATTTTCATCTCTGCATCTTCCATAGTGCTCAGGGAACTCTGGTGTTATTTGGGCCATGGTATGTAAAACACAGGAACTCCTTATAGATGATAAAGAGAGCAAATAAAGATTGTGTGTGCTGGGAATGCAGTACAAAAATGTTTTTGTTTTGAAATAGGATGTCCTATGCAGAGGAAGTGACTGCTGCCAAGGGCTAATACTGGCCTTTGCTCTCATCAGTTCATGAGAAATCTAAACCTACCCACCCTGCAACACTCTTCCTTTTGAAAACTTAACTGAATGGGAGAGAGATCGTCAAAAACTTTAGTTCAACTTAAAGGTGCATACTCTCCAGTGTTTGTAATCCTCAGTGTCATTAAAACACCACACAACCTTCAGCATCACCTCAAAGGGGGGGGGCTGTCTGGTTACAAAATGTACTCGACAGCCGTGAAGGCAGCCCAGCACGGCCTGTTCTGAGCCCTGCAGCGAGGCACCAAGAGCCAGGTGACAACACCCATGGCCCAGCCATTTGCTGCCCACTTTATCAGCAAGCACCCCAAGGCACTCTCACCACACTAAATGTATTTCTGGGAAGGAAACAGGCTTCAGTTCACAATCAGTAATGGTCTATGAAAGCAAGGAAATATTTTTGTGAAACCAGTCATCACAGCACCCTTCAGGTTAGGTTTAGGCAACTCCAGGAGAACAGGGGAGTTTGAAAGGTCTGTGTGTGTTAATGGTGGCTACAAAACACATTTTGCATTCCTCTGCTGAACGCCATGTATTTGCTAAGAAAGGAGCACTGACAATGCACAGGATTTACAGCTCTGCCCTTCCTGAGCAATGGCCTTTGTAATGAGATTCCTTCACAGTCTATCTTCAACTGAGACCACCTCACCGTGCTGGAACGCCTCCTGTCTATCCAGTGCCATGGCTATGTAGGGTACTTAAAGGCATTTCGTAAGCCTGCCTGTATCTCCTATAAATATTATATAACAGTGATCCTGGGAAGAGTTACTATGGAGATTGGAAAGCTTCCCTTAAGGCAGTGACAGAAAACTGCAGTTTTATTCCAGATCTGAAAGCAGTAACTAGAACACAAACCCTGATAAGACAGAGCACAAACCAAAAAGCTTTCCCGAGGCTTTCAGTAATGAGACAAAAAGCAGCAAAGCTACAGTTGGTAGCTCAGCTGTTGGCATTTTTGGCCTTGCTGTATTAATGGCAGGCAGGTACACATCCACGTAGGTTCATCGATAATGCAGTTAGTCAACATGTAACAAAGAGTCGGCCCCATCGACTGCTGTGCCAGCAGGATGCAGCTGATCCGTCCTGTCCGCAGCACAAACGTTTGCTGTCTGAAAAGTCAGCTCCTTTCTCTTACATAATTCACAAGCTGGCATTAGCTACCTGATCTCAAACATGTACCAGTGAAGCACGTGGATGAGTTCTGGCCTGTAGGCTGCATGAAACCTCTGCAAAGATCAATAGTCTTTAACTAGCAGATCTCCAGGTACGTGTTCAACGATGCAGTGCTATATTCCAAGGCACAACAGTTTCATCCTCACCCCCTGTCTTTCACTGGTAATCAAGTCTCTTAACAATAACACTGTGCTTCTGTTCACGTTCACGACTGCTTGCTAAGACAGCAGTCTAAATTCAGCACTACTGGCATATCTAACAGATGTGCTATGGATAAAAGCACCAAATGCTTTCCCTAGTAAAGCAGAGAGCTTCAAAACATATCGGTTCAAAAGCACAGTGATAATACTAAACAATGCAAAAAAACCCCAAACCCCAAAGTGCTAACCTCTCCCTTCACGTTCTGTTCCAGATTAAGATCCAACATAAGCTCTATTCCACCAACACGTGTGCCTTTACAGAAATTACTCAGTGCCACGTTTACAAACCAGTCTCCCAACTGCCAATCTCTTGGCCTTCCGCAATCTGACTTCGCTGCCTGCCTGGATCCACACAGATGAGCTGATAGTCTCTCTGGTACCATCTCTATTTTCAGCAAGGATGACATAACTACCGTCCTGGCCTCAAAATTGTTACTTTGGGATGTATTTCACATACTTGCAGTGCCCTCCTGAAACACTGTGTTAGAAATAACCTTTACTGAGCTTCAAGGGAAAAATACAACCCTAAGGCTCAACACTGAAAGGAAAAAAATTCTGAAAGCGTTCCCTGAGAAACGAGCAAATGTATCAGTTGCGGAAAAGATAGCCCAAATTAAATTATGTACCAAGGGCACATAAAGACATACATCACTCACCTTTTATTAAAGCCTGGCAGGGAAGAGCTTTTCAATAGACACTTATCACATAACCACTAGAGCTTAATTATAAATACCATTATCCCGGGCTGCAGAGAAGGTCACCCACACACTCAGGGGACTTACTCTCTTGATGCTTTAACTGACAAAAATTGATTTACAAGGATCTCTCTCTGTGTCACAGTCAGCGGAAAGCAGGCAGCCATTCAGGACATCTGCTGACTGGGGACACCGCTGCACTACAGGTTCCTAAGTCCTGTGCAGAAAGAGAAAAGTTTCCCCTCCCTTACTCCTCCCACGCTTTTGCAAGCTCTAACATTTAATTGTAAACTTGTCTTTGGGAAAACACTTGCAAAGGCACCACCATGCACAACGAAAACATGCATTTCACAGTCCCACCGGGGTCCCTAGGCACGCTATGGGCCATCAGCTGGGACTGGCCGATGCAGCTTGCCTCCCGCCCGGGGCTGGCTGTGCCCCCCGCCAGACCCCCCGAAGCTGGGCTCCGACTCACTGTTATACTGGACTCCCTTGGCAAACCTCCTCTGCAGAGCCTGGTTCATGGACTGCAGCCCCGCAGGGATATTCTTGTCTCTGACCGGAGCCTGGTCCGAGCCCACCAGCTTCTTCAGGGCTGATAACATCTTTCTGGTCCCACACCTGCGCCACTGCCTCCAGGAAAAGGGCTGATGCTCCGGGGCTCAGGGACAGGGCGGCCCCGGGGGGGGCATAGGGGGAGGTCACGGATCGGGGGAGGTGGGGGCGCGGGTGAATTAGGGCTGGGGCAGGGCTGGTCCG